ATTCCTGCTCTCGGGTCAGAATGTGCAGAGCAAGCTGAGGTGTGTCTGTGCCCAACATGAAAGAAAACTAACAAGAGAGAGTTCACTCAGCAAACCAGTCTTATAATAGTTGGAGAAAGTCCAGCATACCCCATACATGTGCACCTTCTGTTGGGAAAAGCAGTATTTTTAAAGCTCCCAACAGTTCTGATGTGGGGTTGACTTATGTTTCATGCTTCCAAAGCATGATGGAAATGGCGAATGAAAGTGCTGACCCCTCACATTAGAGATACAAGGCTAAAAGGTGGGAATCAAATGTTTGACATGTGGCAAGGAGAGAGATGGCACTGCAAAAAGCAGTGGAAAAGATGACTGAGGGTGCCAAGCTTGGAGCGATATAAAACCACTACATCTGCGATCATTGCCTCTGTCCAGACTGCAAGCCACCTCACCACTGACAGCATTACTGGAGCAATAGGATGGAAGCATCTCTAAAAAAAGCAATCGGGAGTCCTACCTTAACTGCTACATGCAGAAAAGAAACCTGCAAGGGAACCTTGCCCAGGGGGCAAGACAAGCATTAGAGGTTCACTGTCTTGTGGGTGGTGAAACTGCATCACCCTGAAACACTTCTGAACCAAGTGTGTGCGTATGCCCCCTCTAGCATTGTTCCCAACAGCTGTGATTCAATTAATCTGCTTTGGATCATGACAAGCAGCCAAAAAGCCAACGTTCTAGGGACAAACAGGGAGAAAATAGAGCAACCAACTCAGAGAGCCACCAGCTGCCCCTCACCTTGACTCGTGTGTCTTTGTGTTTCAGCATCTCCTTGTTGTTCATCATGATGCGGTTAGCTATGACCTTGTTGATGGGCACGAGCAGCAGCGCCAGGGCCAAGCCTCCCAGAAAGGCTACCCCCACTTGCTGGTAGAGGAGGTAGAGGGTAATAGCAAACTGGAAAGGCAGGCTCCACACCTCATGGAAGCTGAGGCAGAAGTTGACCAACCTATTGGTGTCCGTGCTCATGAAGTTGACAATTTCGCCCACAGTGAAGCGGGTAAGGCTGGTGCTGCCAACACGCAGGGCCTTGCGGTAGATGGCAGAGATGATGGCGGCCCGAACCATTAGCGTCACCTTGTTCACCTCATAGCTGAACTGGTTCCGCAAGAGAGCACCCAGGAAGGAGCCAGCAAAGAGTCCGAGGGCATAGAGCACCCCGTGGCTCAGGGGCTCCTGCTGTGACTCCATGAAGTTCACCAGCAGGTTTAGAAGCAGAGGACCTGAGAAACCCAGCAGGTTGCCGGCCAGCTTGAGAAGTCCAAGAGAGTAAAAACGAAGCCCAAAGGCCACATGAAGGACTGAGAAGAGTTGCACGGCCTCCTGGGCATGATGTGAGCTGTCTGGGGCATTGCTACTCCTATCGCCTCCAGCAACGATTGGGCTGGTAAGAGACACTGTCTCCTCCTCTACTTGGTGCAGAGCTGCCTTCTTCTTCCAGCAAGCATAGAACTGATCACAGACCCTGGCAGCCTGGAGCTTGCGAGGAAGCACATAGACATCCTGCGGCTGGTTCAGCTTCCACTGATAGCCACGTTTCATAAGAGGGTTCATCCAAACATAAAAGAAGCGTGAGAGCCAGTTCTCACCATCTTCTGCCACTCCCTGCTGATCAAGCACTGGGATCCCCGGCTCTGAGATGAGCCGGTCTTCTTGCCAGGAGTGATTGATGGAAAGGAAGTCTTGCCTGTCAGTGGTGGGTAAGACGTAGCTGATCACATACACAAACAGAGAGGCCAGCTGCAGGCAGAGAATGGCAAACCTGGAGGAGGCAGCAGGGTGGGCAGGAGACCAAGCCGTCCCACTTTGGCAGTACCACACCAGCGTGATGATGAAGGAAGGTAGCGGTAAGAGAGTGAGGAGAGCCAGGGTCGCAGGGCCTCTGGTAGAGCCCTGAACGGACCTGAAGAGCATGAGAAGAGTGAGGCCATGCGTGAGCCACGTCAGGGCAGCAGTGCCATTTGCCAGAGCTTCCAGGTACACAGGGCCTAGATCCTGCTGAGAAATGGTGGCTGGGATGGTATCGGCAAGAAATAGGCCAGCAAGTATGAAGGAGGCGGCGATCCTGCATGCCCAGCCTGGCCTGCAAGGCGCTCCGGAGCCAGATCTAGAGGAGAAAAGAGCACAGGAAAAATTCACAGCTGACATTCTATCACCTCTTCAGTCAGTACTCTCCCTTCTCCCTCTCCTCTTCTCCCCTTTATCTGTTCACTCTTACTTAACCTATTGGATCCACCTCCCTAGACTTGTAACTTCTTCAGACTGTAGGCATTGCTAAACTACATCAGATCACTATAGCCTAGTATCTGATCAATACCAGAGATTCAGATGCTACCAAAGTACAGCATTTCTCTACAGAAATTTGCTTGCAAACTGTGATATTCTGTGGTCAAATCAGACTCTAATCCTTGAGGATTAAAAAAAAAAAAAAAAAAAAAAAAGTGTATTTAACCCCTTTGACACAAATTCTGGAAGTTTAAATGCTCTGCTGATCCTTGATTTCTCTTGTCTTTGTGATATTTTGTCTAGAAACATTATTTTTATCACTGTTAGTTTCAGTGATGCTGTGTATGTAAAGTCCATAATCTATTGCTCAACAAACTATTTCATTAGCCCTTGATTATCACTTGTGGCCTTTCAATATCAGTGAACATTGCCATGTTTACAAAGAAGAAAGTAAACAGAAAAACTATTTTTGGTTTCTCTGAACACCTTATTACCTTATATACATCTTCCACGCCACCTTGGATTTATAACCTTTCCCAGAAGACTCCCAGTTTTCCCAATCCCCATTCACTGAAATTCTTTTGAATTATTTTCTGTGATTTTATGCTGACTGCCCTCTCTTTTCTCTCTGGATTCCTTTCTGCAATGGAGGGACCAGAGCTGTACACAGTACTCTGAATAAGGACAGATGCTGACAAATATAACAGCATTATAATACTGTGACCTTCCTTAATTATATATTTAGCACATTATAGGGAGATCTAATTTCCAGCCTTTCCACCTCACCTCCAGTCCTGCATAATAATCAAGAGCTAGACAAGTTAGTTGTCATACCTTGGAGTGCCAAGGAAGCAGGCACTGACCACTGCAAGGATCGCATGAGGAATCACATTTAATGTCAGCTGGTTAAAGCAATGGCCAACACTGCCATGAACCCACACAGGGAGTGGATCTTCTGGGCTGGTCCCACACAAACCAGCCAGGATGTTCTCCATCCTTTGCTGGGAATTCAATGTGAGAGACAGGAGCTCCTAGGGTAGAAAAGAAAAAACAGCAAGACGTACAAAACGAAAACAGTACAGCGCTAGTCCAAGGGGAACTCCGATAAGAAATGAACATAGGGCTAGAAGCAACTTCCTGGGTCACACAGTCCAGGCCCTGCTACTGTGAACTTGCCATCATATCATCTACTTCGCAAAATGATCGAGCTCCAGCTTAAAATATTGTTTGTTCCCTTAAGTCACCCCGGGACCTCAGTGCTCTGGGAATTTGAAGCTTTTTGCTTATTTCCAGGCTGATTTTTTCCCATGGCCAGTTTGTCCTTTGAAACTAACATCAGGAAGCATTTGCCTTTCTATTGATCACTCTGAAAAATATTTTGAGCTGCTTAGACAATACTCTATCAATGATATATCCATCTTCAGGCCAGTCCCCACAAGGGTGCTCCTTAAGACAGCGTCTAACACCAAACACCCTCCAGGTCGCGGGGGAGGATGCCAGTGCCCACCCAGGAAAGCAGGCAGCACCTCCAAGCTGCACGGGGCCGGGGGATCAGCAGGGCTCGGTCCCTGCGTGCTGACACCTGCGAAGGCCTCGGCTTTACAGTCATTTCTTTGTTCGCACCAGCTGGTCCCATCTCCAGCCTGGGAGCCGGCTGAGAGCCACAGGAACGGGGCACTGCAGCACCGGAGCCGGGGGAA